TGAGAAGCCGCGATCATTGACGGTCATTGGGCTAATGGTGACGTTGCCTTGTACTTTACTCACGTCTTCCAAACCGTTGGTCAAATTACAGAAAACTGATCATGGGATCATCGATGAAATGATCGTTATTGTTAATGTTACGCCGTCTGTCCTTCTTGCTGATCCTCCTCCTCTTGAGCTTGGGTACGCGGAACCTTCCGCTTGGTTAAAACACGAAGGCACCGGAGTCTTTTGCGTTTGCCCTCCTGACCTTATTTTTGTCCTCAAGCGCCGCGGGGGATACATGTGGGTGTATCCAGAGTTTCAGTACCCCACCCTCGAGACGGACGGGGTATGTTCTGATTGGTCATGATCAGGATGTGGGAACACTCGGTCCAGAGAATACGAGCATCCTTGCTGTGGAAAACTTGTTTGAGTGACGGGATCATTAGATGAGCAGCGAAGGTGTTCAATGGCTATCTGAGGACGTTTTGGATGCGTGTAAGGCGCTTTCGAATGGTGTTGCACCTGCTGGGCAGGTTTCGGTGGTACTGTGTGGAGTAGCGACTGACCTATTGGGACCTACTAGCGTGATCTCATTCAGAATCTGGTCAAGAGCATGCATAGAAAACGGTGCTCGCAATACCCCGATGGTGTATTTTCTGCAGTCAGTAAGGATGTACTTGGACATGGAGAGTCGTCCAAGAACGTGAAGAACATCCATGCTGTCATAATACACGATCAGTCTTACAGCAGGCGTCGGATATTTATTTGATAAGGACGCTGGGGCTGACCCTGATCGACTGGGACGCGACGCGACGCGAGGTCTGATCAAGAAGCGATCAGTGCAGGACGCTTCGAAATCTGATCATGATCGGTGTCGGAGGCTTTTTAAAAAACGATGTTATTTAAGGGTACGCTACGCTACGCGGTGCTGGTGAGCTGGTCGCCGGCGATGAGGCCTTGGGCGACGGTGCGGGAGACGGCGGCGCGGAGCTCGTCTTCGGGGTCGCGGCCCTCTGCCTCGGCGCGCTGCATGATGTCTGCCACGGAGGAGACGGGCTCTGCCTGGGCGTTGTGGGGCGTGGGCGGCTGGAGGAGGGACTGGAGGTACGCAGCGACGTCGGGAAAGTCTTCGGCGAGGTGGTCGATTGGCTAGGGAGAGTCAGTGGTGGAGGGAAAGTCGAAAGAGAGACGAACAGAGATGCCGTGTGCGTTGCGGCGGTCGATTGTTGCGCCGTGCTGGACGAGGAAGCGGGCGGTGGGGATGTCCTCGACGGTGTAGAGGGGCGTGTCGCCGTCGTCGTCGGTGATGTCGACGTTGCCGCCGCGGGCGATGAGAAAGGCGAGGACGTCTAGCTGGCCGTAGCTGGCGGCAGCGTGCCTGTGGGGGGTGAGTGGGGGCAGCAGGGAGGGCGGGGGACGGACATGGGCGTGTAGGTGTGCTCGTCGGGGACGTTGGGGTCGAGTGCTGCTGGGGGATGAGACGGGGCGCGGGCAGGAAAAAGCGACTTGCCATCGACGTCGACGAGGTGCTGGGGGGAGTCATTACTAGTCTTCAATAAGATTTGTTAATAACGCACCTGAACACGGCCCAAGTCGCCGTCGGCAGCTGCAATCCAAATGTTTTTTTGCATAGAAATGTCTCGGATCTTCTCTTGGATCAGCTCCGACATGACCTCGCCCGCCGGCCGCCTGCTCGCCGTCGCCCACGATGCCCGCGCCCTGCCCAGCGTCGGCCAGACGCGCTGCTGTGAGTCTGCGATCGTCGCCCGATCTCGTGCTCACCGCCAACAGACTGGGCCCTCCTCGACCCCGCCCTCCGCTTTGTCTATCTCGACCCCGTCCTCCAGAGCCACCTCGACGCCCAGGCCGACGCTCTCTGCCGCAAGTCCCTCCTCGACTTTGTCCACCCCGACGAGCAGGCCTCTGCCGAGAACGATCTCGCCGGCGTCCTCCACAGCCGCACTCTCCACGGCTCTGTCACTCGGTACCTCGTTCTTTTTTTTTCTGTCTCTGCTCTGACAGCCCCCAGTGTCCGTTTTTCTCGTCTCTCCAGGGTCCGCCGTCTCCTGGGCTACGACGGCCCCCTCCCCGCATGGCATGACGCCGACAAAATCGCCCTCGACGCCAACTACATGGCCGTCGACATCGTCATCAACCTCGCCGCAGAGGGCCTCGTTCTCTGCTTCATCCACGCCATTGTCGACCTCAGCCCCACAGACAACGACGAGCACAACAAGACCGGCTGGTCCAACTGGTGCGGCACCCCCCTCATGAGCCCCGCACACATCACCCAGTGCTACCACAATCTCTTCAATTCCGTGCCCACCGCACCCATGAACCGTGTCTTCCAGATCCTCGACAGCCGCGACGGCCGCCCGCTCCTCCTCAGCTGGCCCCCGGATCACGGCCAGGGCACCCACCATCCGAACGGCCAGGACTTTGCCCGCCTCGTCGAAAACGCCCAGATTGGCGCAACGACCCAAGACGCCAATGACGCCAAAACAAGCTGCACACGCCGCTACAAGGCCCTCCAGTCCATGCCCCCAGCCAGCCAGGTCGAAAGCATCTTTATTCCGCACGGTTCGTCTCACCTCTGTCACACTTTTGACTCACTTTTTTCACATCTATATCTAGGATCCGTCATCTTTGCTTGCCACAACCTCCACTCCTCGCCCTTGCCCCGCAGCTCTGTCAGCTCATCTGCCACCATGCAGCAGCAGCTACCATATTCCTCCTACTACGACCCTCCCTATGCCCTCCCCCCCCTCTACCCCCCGTACTCCTACCCGCCCCAGCGCTGGTCTGCCTCTTCGTCCGACTACCAGCAGCAATGGGGCTCCGCCAGCCCAAGCCCCGTCTCGTCCGCAGTCAGCAACCTCCGTGCCGGCTCATACCCGCCCCCTCCGTTCGCTCCGGGCGGCCCCCAGGGCACCCCGCTCTTCGACCTGCCCCCCCGCCCAGCATCGCCTTATTCAAACTCGTACTCTCCCGGCGCCGCCAGCGACAGGTCTCTCCCTGCCGACGATGCACTCGTCCCCCCTTCGAGGCGGCGCACCAGTCCCGCGGCGCAGGGCGGAGACGGATACGGCAACGTTATCCCCGGAGGCAGGAATGCCGGCAACAGACCCAATGGGGTGTTGAAATGTTCCAGTTGCAAGGTCACCACCAGCCCTGAGTGGAGAAAAGGCCCGTCAGGGAAAAAGGAACTTTGTAACGCGTGAGTGTGTTTCTCCGTCTTGAATGTTTCATGACACGCCTCTTGTGCGTGTGCTGCCTGCCCCACGTTTCCTCACGCCTCGTGTCACACCTCGCTAAACCCACCTTTTACAGCTGCGGTCTCCGCTATGCCCGTTCCCGTGCCAAAAAAGAAGGCCAGGCCCCATCCCAGCGCCGGCGCAAAGACAAACCACCACCCACCGTCGCAGGCGGGGGCATAACCAAACGCGAGGCCTCGTCTACACCTCCGTACCTCCCCTGCACACCCGCCTCTGCGCCCGCCTCCTCGTCCTCCTCATCCATGCCCGTGCGTCTCCCACCCGGCACCGTCGGCGCGTCGGGCGAGCTGTACCACCACGCTTCGATCGATGATACAAAGGCTGGGCTCAAGCTCACGCCGTCCCCGAGCCCGCCGATGGGGTTCGTGCATTATGCGGCGCCGGGCGCACCGGCGCATCCGCATCCGCATGGGCATCAGTTTTATAGCGTGCCGTCGCCGCTTGCGCATAGCGGTTTCGTTGAGGGATGAGCCGAGTCCTCCGCCGCAGGGACAGGGCGCCGGAGTGAATGATGCGACGCAGGCGGGGTATGCTGCGAGGCCTGCGCTGACGACGATGCCGCCTGCTTCGTTTGAGAGGGAGAAGGATAAGGAGAGGGAATTGCCGCCGCCGCTTGCGTTGCATGGGAGGAGGATTTTGGCACAGCAGGGGTGAGTGAGTGTGTGTGTGACGGACGCGGTTGTGTGTTGGGAAAACTTTGGGGTTTTTTTTGGTACTTGACCCGCGCCCCGCGTTATTCTTCGAGTTCATGTATCTTTTTTTTTTTCTTTTTTTTTCACTTCTTTCTTCGACGACGATCTCGTACCTAATTGTTTGGTTTGTGGGTTCTTGAGCCACGCTTGCCTTTGGGGTATATTTATTTTATTTTCTTGTTCTTGTTCTTAATGAATTTTTTTTTGTGTTTCTGTTTCTGTTTCTGTTTCCCTCCCCACCCACTTGCATTCCATTTCACTTGATTCTGTCAACCAACCAGTATCCAGTATATTATACGCGTTCAGCACACCCTACACCCGTAATGCGCTACGATCCCATATTTTTCTTAATCTGCACCCCGCACGCCACGCCACACTACAGACGTACATTTGGTATTCGATCATTCGATCATTCGTACGTACGTACATACATTGTCCATTCCATTCCTCCCATAATCGACGTCACGGTGCCCGCGGACGATGTACACTAGCCTAGCCGTAGTATATTACTTTTGTTCTTCTTCCCTTCTTCTTCCTTCTTCCTCCTTTCCTTCCTCCCTCCTTCTTCCTTTTTTTCGCGTGCGTGCGTGCGTGTGTGTATCTCCCCCTACCCCTCGAGCATTACGATAATAGAGCGCCGTTATTATTTTCTCGTAGTATACAAATATAACATACTTGACGTTACGGACGTGAATATATATATATATATATATACATTATTTGGTCGTCTTTTCGCCGCTGGAAGCTGGGGGGGGGTATGAATGACTACGTATCATAGTACGACTTTAGGCGGGAACCTGAGTGAAGTGAGAAAAAAAAAACGCTGATACACGGACGAAAGGCACTGCCAGGACTCGAACCTGGGTTTCGAGAATTGGGTGGGGGTCAAAATCTCGAGTGATAACCTCTACACTACAGCGCCGTGTGTTTTGTGCGTTGTATTGTGGGGTGTGGAGGGGTGGTGTGGGGTGCGGAGGGGTGGTGTGGATTTTGTGGGGGAGTGGAGCGGGGAAGTGAGTGCGAGAAAAAAGACTGGGCAGGGGGGGTAAGGCACTGCCAGGACTTGAACCTGGGTTTCGAGAATTGGGTTGAGGGGGGGGTCAAAATCTCGAGTGATAACCTCTACACTACAGCGCCGTCCTTGATGTGCTGGGAGTGAGATTGGTATTGTGGGGTGCGGAGGAGTGGGGAAGTGAGTGCGAGAAAAAAGAACGAGGCAGCGAGGGTAGCGGGTTTGTATGGATCGTGGAGTTGTGATGTGGCTGGGCTGGTTGGAGTGGTCCGGGTTGGAGGGTGGAGACGCGATGTAGAATGGACCGTGATGAGCCTTGTGTACGTGCGTACAGTCCAGCCACATTGCATAGGCGAGCGCTGGCCAGCTTATCACGATGATGATATCATATCAGTATGCGTCGCTTCCGGTCTTTTTGTCAAGTCTACATACATACTTTCCCTTACCACCGGCTACCAATGATCGATGATCTTTTGATCTCGCCACTCCGGTTCTTTGTTGGACTCGAAGACTTGAGCGCACGAACGTGGGTACATATTATGGTCGTCGTGACTTGTTATTCGTCGTTCGATGCGTCCGAATGATTCGGCTTTGCTTTGGCAACATTCAAGTCCGATTCGTTGATGGGGGCCCGTGTTTGTGTGGAACGATTCTGGCTTGCTTTAAATTCGAGGATTCCTTGCGGCTCGGAGCGAAATTTTCGGGAACGAGTATTTTATTCGACGTGACATTGAGAAGCGTGTCAGCTTCCTATGGCATTCATGTTGTAGCAGGACGGAACAGTCCGAGGTCATCGGGTGGAGGTTCGTGCCTCCGCGCGACGTGTAACGAACCCTGATCAGCCTTCTGCTTTCTGTACGAGCGGACAGTCCAGTCACATCGTGGGACATGAATAAGAATGGACGAGCGCTGGCCAGCGATATCACGATGATGCTATCATATCAACGTGCATCGTCGGGTCAATCAATCAAGAGCGTCCTTGTACAGTTCAGTCACATCGCAGGGACACAAATAAGAAATGGACGAGCGCTGGCCAGCGATATCACGATGATGCTATCATATCAATGTGCATCGTCGGGTAGATCGATCGAGCGCCTCCTTCGAGTCCTTCTGTCAAGTCTGCTTTCCCGCACCACCGCCCATGATTCTTTGATCTCGCCGCTCCAGTTTTTCGAAATCGAAGACTCTAGCACACAAACGTGGTATTATGGTCGTCATAACTTGTATTCGTATGCAACTGTCACCTGCGCCCGAATGACTCAGCTTGGCTTTGGCAACTTCAAGTCCGATTCGCTAATGGGTCCGTCTTTGTGTGGAACGATTCTGGCCTGCCGTAAACGAAGGCTCCTCTTATGACATACCTGGGCCCTTACTAGCACAAACCTTCAAGATTCCTTGCGACTCTGAGAGAAATTTACGGGATCGAGTATCTCATTCGACGTGACATTGAGAAGCGTGTCAGCTTGCTATGGCATCCATGATGTAACAGGACGGAACAGTCCGAGGTCATCGGGTGGAGGTTCGTGCCTCCGCGTCTGTCAAGTCCGCTTTCTCGCACCACCACCCATGATCTTTTGATCTCGCCGCTCCAGTTCTTCGAACTCGAAGACTCTAGCACACAAACGTGGTATTATGGTCGTCATAACTTGTATTCGTCGTTCTATACAACTGTCACCTGCGCCCGAATGACTCAACTTGACTTTGGCAACTTCGAGTCCTATTCACTAATGGGCCCGTCTTTGTGTGGAACGATTCTGGCCTTAAACCAAGGCTTCTCTTATGACAAAGGCCCTCGTTTCGAATCGAGAGAAATTTTCGGGACCGGGTATCTCATCTGACGTGACATTGATGATCGAAAGACTGGAACTGGAAGTGCGCAGTTCAAACTCACAGGCAGCCTGGATATTATTATCAGGATCTTGCCTCTTATAGGTGTCCACGTACGTGATTCCATTTAATATCACCTTTCTAGAAAAATCTGAAGATTAGTATACAGATTTGTTATGCAATACAATACTTACGTAGTGCCCTTAATTTACCTCCTTATGTAGGGGATCACTGGAGGCTTGGAAGATTTACTGTTGTTCCGTAAGTATGTGTTGCACGATGAACGGAAGCAAATCCTGGCTGTCGATTGTTTCACCAGTGGCCCGTCGCCCACCAGGATCATCGACCGCCGCTCAAATGGTTTACTACGACATAGCGACGCAAAACAGTGGATGATCTCGTCGGGCTCGTTTTAATTCGCATTCATTGGTATTTCGACCCCACAGAACTTGGGGTATAACGGCCCGCACACACTTTTTTTCACCATGATGATATTCGAATCATTGATTAACTTCACTGCCATTATTGCACGATGTCACGCGCACATTCTAATTTTTGTACCGGCGGGAGTCACCGATGTATGGAAGCTGTGAAGTTTCTCTTGAAAACTTGCATTGGAACATCTAGGAAAAGGTCCAAAACGTGATCTCCATTTTTCTCAGGTATTTTGCAGAATCGATGAGAGTTTGGCAACACTGACATTGGTTCTCCTTGTCAAGTAACAAATCATGAACATAGACCATTCATTGAAGGAGAAGACTGCGAGCAACTCTAAAATCGCAGGGGTCCTCCGCGACGAACTAATTGCATGCGGACAAACTTTTCCCGGGCTGCAGAACACGTCTCATCACATCAGCCGTGCTATGGTCAAGAACGAAAGTATCATTGAAGCCTCGGAACATCCTAAGCATCCTGTATCAGCACCACATGACCGCCTACCACTCGAAGTCCTCCGAGAGATTTTTCTCTTCCTTATTCCAGGATGTCGGATCGTTCGAACAGTCATTCCACCTTCACTATCCTCGCCTTCCTGGGCACTAGGCCAAGTAAATCAAACCTGGAGGTATCTATCCCGTTCCATGTTTGAGCTATGGGGAACCGCTACTCTGCACCTTTCCCACAACTGCACCTCGCCTGACATGGTACAGCGCGCATTAATTACGTTACCTGACATTTGCAAGATCGACGTTCACGTTGTGGATGCGGTCGGCATAGCCAAGGCTGCTCTGGTACCTTACCTTGCTCGCATTCACGAGCTCCATTGGCAGCTCGATGATTCGCAGCTGGTAGACCTCTGGAGCATCCTCCCTCCCAATGCTTTATCTAAGATTGTAACTCTCGATTTGACTTGCTCTCTTCGTTCTCGCAAGGCAGTAGACAACGGTGAGTCAACCGAGGGTGAGACTGGTCAGTTCTTTGGAAAGGCAGCTAGTCTACGATTCCTGAAACTCGACGTTCCCAAGGGAGCTTTGCCAATGATTCTATCAATGGATATCCCTTGGGGACACCTTACTTCCCTATGCATCAGCTGCCATTCGGAAGAGGACGTTGATATACTCGCCAAGGTACTATGCGGCTGCACTGCCCTGAATTGCCTTGACCTTCGATTCTATGTTAAATCATCCTGCCAGGGATACAATCCCCTCATTCTTAAAAAAATCAAATTGTTCACTCTTCTAGGATTTTTCCCATCCTTTCTCCTCCTATCCCCCTGTGTATGGAATGAACTCAACGAGCTTTGCCTCGAACAAATTTCGCTTCCAATTTCCTCGCTTTGCTGTATTCTATCCCAATGTCACAGCATTGGACGCCTCTCATGTTGTATCTCGTCGGGTGGACCGTCCACTTCAGAAATATCAATCACACTACCTCATCTCCACACCCTTTCGATAACTCTTCAGCAAGCTCACATATTTTCCCTGCTCCAAACTCCAGCTCTTGAAAAAATTGTGATAACAGCTCTTGATCATTTGGAACTCCTCCCCTTATCAAAATTTATCACGCGTTCGGGATGTGTTGTGGACTCGTTCACAATGTCCAGTGCCAAATGGGAGAACAATTCATCTTATATGAGGGAGCTTTTGACCAGCCTTGCTTGTGTTATTTCATTTTCGATGCATGGTATCGCTGTCCACGATGATCTTCTAGATGACATCGCTTCGGGAACCTTGCTTCCGAATGTGAGCAGTCTGTTGGTCAGTACGCCTACCTTTGACACCTATATGGGCATGGTCCAACGTAGGCTACAATGGGAGCAGGAATCAGGTCAGGTGAGAATTGGCGTGATTGAGGGGTCGGCGCCTGAGAAAGTCGATGAAATGGCGACGCGCAGACTGAAAGAAGTGAGCCAGCAATATGGTATATGTTGTCAGTTTCATGAGGATGCTGTAGATGTGTTTGAGTCGGTTGAGGAGCTCTATATTTGAGCATCTCAATGATAGGAATTCGCAGCAGATTCAGGTTTTGATATTGGATATCGAACTTTGATCATGAGTACTGTGCAACAATGATCCGGCACTGTGTATAGATAGCACTTCATGATACTCTTGTTCACAGATCAGATCATGCAAGTGCTTGACTGGGACTAATATATACGATATCTCATGCTACTATGAGCTAGTCTGGCTTGCATCGCTTGTGTCCGAAAGATATGTTATTCAGTAGAGGGTATAAGGATTAATATGTACACAATCTGGTCATGTAGAAGTCAGAATGGCTATTGTACAAATATATGTCATACTAAATCAATAAAACCATCTTTCATATTGCTATGTATATCAATGATACCAGGCACCAGGAATTTCCCCGCTCCGTAGTCTTGTTCCAATCAAGGTTCCAATTCCTTCCAGCTGAATCTGGCCTGATCAAGGCGCGGTTGATTGAAAATCATTTGATCAAAGATTCCCGTGATCTCCTGGTTTGGATGCAGATTCTTCCGTCATCATGATGAGAATTTTCTGATGAAACCTTATGTAACTCTAGATCATCAAAAAAGCAGTTGCTACCAAAAATCTCAACATTTTCCCTTGTATACCTCTTCGGTGAGCCACTTGATGTATGTACAGGGACACGAATAAGAGATGGACAAGCGCTGGCCAGCCATATCACGATAATGACATTGATGTGCGTCGTCGGGTAAACCAAGAGCCTCCTTCGGGTCCTTCTGTCAAGTCCACTTTCCCGCACAATCAATGATCTTTTGGTCTCTCGCCACTCCAGTTCATTGGACTCGAAGACTTGAGCGCACAAACGTGGTATCACGGTGTATAGATCTTCAAGCATCCTCGCGACTTCAAGT